CTTTACTTGTCAGCTCTACCTGTCACCTCTACCTGTCAGCTCTCCACCTGTCACCTCTACCTGTCAGCTTTACTTGTCAGCTCTACCTGTCACCTCTACCTGTCAGCTCTCCACCTGTCAGCTCTACCTGTCAGCTCTACCTGTCACCTCTACCTGTCAGCTTTACTTGTCAGCTCTCTAAATTCAACTCTCTACCTGTCAGCTCTCTAACTTCAGCTCTCTGTCACCTCTACCTGTCAGCTTTACCTGTCAGCTCTACCTGTCAGCTCTCTAACTTCAGCTCTCTATCTGTCACCTCTACCTGTCAGCTCTACCTGTCACCTCTACCCGTCCCCTCTACCTGTCACCTCTACCTGTCAGCTTTAATTGTCAGCTCTAACTGTCAGCTTTACCTGTCACCTCTACCTGTCAGCTTTACTTGTCAGCTCTACCTGTCACCTCTACCTGTCACCTCTACCTGTCAACTCTACCTGTCACCTCTACCTGTCACCTCTACCTGTCAACTCTACCTGTCAGCTTTACTTGTCAGCTTTACCTGTCAACTCTACCTGTCAGCTTTACTTGTCAGCTTTACCTGTCACCTCTACCTGTCACCTCTACCTGTCAACTCTACCTGTCACCTCTACCTGTCAGCTTTACTTGTCAGCTTTACCTGTCACCTCTACCTGTCACCTCTACCTGTCAGCTTTACTTGTCAGCTCTACCTGTCAGCTTTACTTGTCAGCTCTACCTGTCACCTCTACCTGTCACCTCTACCTGTCAACTCTACCTGTCAGCTTTACTTGTCAGCTCTACCTGTCAGCTCTCTAACTTCATCTCTCTATCTGTCACCTCTACCTGTCACCTCTACCTGTCAGCTTTACTTGTCAGCTCTACCTGTCAGCTCTCTAACTTCAGCTCTCTGTCAGCTCTACCTGTCAGCTTTACTTGTCAGCTCTACCTGTCACCTCTCTAACTTCAACTCTCTACCTGTCACCTCTACCTGTCACCTCTACCTGTCAGCTCTCTATCTGTCACCTCTACCTGTCACCTCTACCTGTCAGCTTTACTTGTCAGCTCTACCTGTCAGCTCTCTAACTTCAGCTCTCTATCTGTCAGCTCTACCTGTCAGCTTTACTTGTCAGCTCTACCTGTCACCTCTCTAACTTCAACTCTCTACCTCTCAGCTTTACTTGTCAGCTCTATCTGTCAGCTCTCTAATTTCAGCTCTCTACCTGTCAGCTTTACTTGTCAGCTCTACCTGTCACCTCTCTAACTTCAACTCTCTACCTGTCAGCTCTACCTGTTACCTCTACCTGTCAGCTTTACTTGTCAGCTCTACCTGTCAGCTTTCTAACTTCAGCTCTCTAACTTCAGCTCTCTACCTGTCAGCTCTACCTGTCAGCTCTCTAACTTCAGCTCTCTATCTGTCACCTCTACCTGTCAGCTCTACCTGTCAGCTCTACCTGTCAGCTTTACTTGTCAGCTCTACCTGTCAGCTCTCTAACTTCAGCTCTCTACCTGTCAGCTCTACCTGTCAGCTCTCTAACTTCAGCTCTCTGTCAGCTCTACCTGTCAGCTCTACCTGTCACCTCTACCTGTCACCTCTATCTGTCACCTCTACCTGTCAGCTCTCTACCTGTCAGCTCTCTATACCTGTCACCTCTACCTGTCAGCTCTACCTGTCAGCTCTACCTGTCACCTCTACCTGTCAGCTCTACCTGTCAGCTCTCCCTGTCAGCTCTACCTGTCACCTCTACCTGTTAGCTCTCTACCTGTTAGCTCTCTACCTGTCAGCTCTCTATCTGTCAGCTCTACCTGTCAGCTCTACCTGTCACCTCTACCTGTCAGCTCTACCTGTCAGCTCTACCTGTCACCTCTACCTGTTAGCTCTCTACCTGTTAGCTCTCTACCTGTCAGCTCTCTATCTGTCAGCTTTACTTGTCAGCTCTACCTGTCAGCTCTCTACCTGTCACCTCTACCTGTCAGCTCTACCTGTCAGCTCTACCTGTCAGCTCTACCTGTCAGCTCTCTATCTGTCAGCTTTACTTGTCAGCTCTACCTGTCACCTCTACCTGTCACCTCTACCTGTCACCTCTACCTGTCAGCTTTACTTGTCAGCTCTACCTGTCACCTCTCTACCTGTCAGCTCTACCTGTCAGCTCTTTAACTTCAGCTCTCTATCTGTCAGCTCTACCTGTCACCTCTACCTGTCAGCTTTACTTGTCAGCTCTACCTGTCACCTCTCTACCTGTCAGCTCTCTAACTTCAGCTCTCTATCTGTCACCTCTACCTGTCAGCTTTACTTGTCAGCTCTACCTGTCAGCTCTCTAACTTCAGCTCTCTACCTGTCAGCTCTACCTGTCACCTCTACCTGTCAGCTTTACTTGTCAGCTCTACCTGTCACCTCTCTAACTTCAGCTCTCTACCTGTCACCTCTACCTGTCAGCTTTACTTGTCAGCTCTACCTGTCACCTCTCTAACTTCAGCTCTCTACCTGTCAGCTCTACCTGTCAGCTCTCTACCTGACAGCTCTACCTGTCACCTCTCTAACTTCAGCTCTCTACCTGTCAGCTCTACCTGTTCCCTCTCTAACTTCAGCTCTCTACCTGTCACCTCTCTAACTTCAGCTCTCTACCTGTCAGCTCTACCTGTTCCCTCTCTAACTTCAGCTCTCTACCTGTCACCTCTCTAACTTCAGCTCTCTACCTGTCAGCTCTACCTGTCAGCTCTCTACCTGTCAGCTCTACCTGTCAGCTCTACCTGTCACCTCTACCTGTCAGCTATCTACCTGTCACCTCTACCTGTCAGCTCTACCTGTCAGCTATCTATCTGTCAGCTCTACCTGTCACCTCTACCTGTCAGCTTTACTTGTCAGCTCTACCTGTCAGCTCTCTAACTTCAGCTCTCTACCTGTCACCTCTACCTGTCAGCTTACTTGTCAGCTCTACCTGTCACCTCTCTACCTGTCACCTCTACCTGTCAGCTCTCTACCTGTCACCTCTACCTGTCACCTCTCTAACTTCAGCTCTTTACCTGTCACCTCTCTAACTTCAGCTCTCTACCTGTCAGCTCTACCTGTCAGCTCTCTACCTGTCAGCTCTACCTGTCACCTCTCTAACTTCAGCTCTCTACCTGTCAGCTCTACCTGTTCCCTCTCTAACTTCAGCTCTCTACCTGTCACCTCTCTAACTTCAGCTCTCTACCTGTCAGCTCTACCTGTTCCCTCTCTAACTTCAGCTCTCTACCTGTCACCTCTCTAACTTCAGCTCTCTACCTGTCAGCTCTACCTGTCAGCTCTCTACCTGTCAGCTCTACCTGTCAGCTCTACCTGTCACCTCTACCTGTCAGCTATCTACCTGTCACCTCTACCTGTCAGCTCTACCTGTCACCTCTACCTGTCAGCTCTACCTGTCACCTCTACCTGTCAGCTTTACTTGTCAGCTCTACCTGTCAGCTCTCTAACTTCAGCTCTCTACCTGTCACCTCTACCTGTCAGCTTTACTTGTCAGCTCTACCTGTCACCTCTCTACCTGTCACCTCTACCTGTCACCTCTCTACCTGTCAGCTCTACCTGTCAGCTCTACCTGTCACCTCTACCTGTCAGCTATCTACCTGTCACCTCTACCTGTCAGCTCTACCTGTCAGCTTTACCTGTCACCTCTCTAACTTCAGCTCTCTACCTGTCAGCTCTACCTGTCAGCTATCTATCTGTCAGCTCTACCTGTCAGCTCTACCTGTCAGCTTTACCTGTCACCTCTCTAACTTCAGCTCTCTACCTGTCAGCTCTACCTGTCACCTCTCTAACTTCAGCTCTCTACCTGTCAGCTCTACCTGTCACCTCTCTAACTTCAGCTCTCTACCTGTCAGCTCTACCTGTCAGCTCTACCTGTCAGCTCTACCTGTCACCTCTCTAACTTCAGCTCTCTACCTGTCACCTCTCTAACTTCAGCTCTCTACCTGTCAGCTCTACCTGTCAGCTCTCTACCTGTCAGCTCTACCTGTCACCTCTCTAACTTCAGCTCTCTACCTGTCAGCTCTACCTGTTCCCTCTCTAACTTCAGCTCTCTACCTGTCACCTCTCTAACTTCAGCTCTCTACCTGTCAGCTCTACCTGTTCCCTCTCTAACTTCAGCTCTCTACCTGTCACCTCTTTAACTTCAGCTCTCTACCTGTCAGCTCTACCTGTCACCTCTCTAACTTCAGGTCTCTACCTGTCAGCTCTACCTGTCAGCTCTCTACCTGTCAGCTCTCTACCTGTCAGCTCTACCTGTCAGCTTTACCTGTCACCTCTCTAACTTCAGCTCTCTACCTGTCAGCTCTACCTGTCACCTCTCTAACTTCAGCTCTCTACCTGTCAGCTCTACCTGTCACCTCTCTAACTTCAGCTCTCTACCTGTCAGCTCTACCTGTCAGCTCTACCTGTCAGCTCTACCTGTCACCTCTCTAACTTCAGCTCTCTACCTGTCACCTCTCTAACTTCAGCTCTCTACCTGTCAGCTCTACCTGTCAGCTCTACCTGTCAGCTCTCTACCTGTCAGCTCTACCTGTCACCTCTCTAACTTCAGCTCTCTACCTGTCAGCTCTACCTGTTCCCTCTCTAACTTCAGCTCTCTACCTGTCACCTCTCTAACTTCAGCTCTCTACCTGTCAGCTCTACCTGTTCCCTCTCTAACTTCAGCTCTCTACCTGTCACCTCTCTAACTTCAGCTCTCTACCTGTCAGCTCTACCTGTCACCTCTCTAACTTCAGCTCTCTACCTGTCAGCTCTACCTGTCAGCTCTCTAACTTCAGCTCTCTACCTGTCAGCTCTACCTGTCAGCTTTACCTGTCACCTCTCTAACTTCAGCTCTCTACCTGTCAGCTCTACCTGTCACCTCTCTAACTTCAGCTCTCTACCTGTCAGCTCTACCTGTCACCTCTCTAACTTCAGCTCTCTACCTGTCAGCTCTACCTGTCACCTCTACCTGTCAGCTCTACCTGTCACCTCTATCTGTCACCTCTACCTGTCAGCTATCTACCTTCAGCTCCGGCATGCTGACGATGAGCGTCAGAGGAACTCTGATGTCGGGGTTGTTGGTGTAATCCAGCGGCACTAAGTGAGGAGCCAACTCTCGGTACCTGCCATGTAGCCTGCAGAGGACAAGGGACAGAGGACAAAGGGCAGAGGATAAGGGACAGGGGATAGAGGATAGGGGACAGAGGACAGGGCACAGAGGAAAAGGAAAGAGGACAAGGGACAGGGGATAAGGGCAGAGGATAAGGGACAGGGGACAGAGGACAGTGGACAGAGGACAGTGGACATGGGACAGAGGACAAGAGACAGGGGACAGAGGATAGTGGACAGTGGACAGAGGACAGTGGACAGAGGACAGAGGGACAGGGGACAGAGGACAGTGGATAGGGGACAGAGGACAGTGGATAGGGGACAGAGGACAGCGGACATGGGGCGAAAGACAGGGGACAGGTGTCATACAGAGAGGTAGACAGACAGAGTGTCCCGAGCATAGGTGGAAATCGAGGGGGGGGGGTCAGGACCTTCCCAATCTGAGGGTCCACCCCCTAAAAACCTAATTAAATAATATAATGATATTGACTTAAAATAATTGTGCAAGCTGTAAAACAATACAAACAGTGCAACACCATTAGCTTTAATTAATTAATTAAGTTTAGGAACACTTAGAGTCCCCCCTCTCTTCCCTCACAGTGGTTTGGTCCAGTGCTGCTGTCCCCCTTTACTCGCCTGCACACAGTCTGGGGGGAGTCCAGTAAGTAACCGACTACTTTAAGAATCCTCTATACAACTTTATAGGGAAAGCCCATAATGCCAAAGATGGCGGTTATCCCGCCCCTCCTGTTAGAAAGCCAATTGTCTGCTTTTAACATCTGAGGCAGGAAACATATTTCAGCCAATCGTGTGGCTCCCCTGATGGAAGGGTCTGCTCTATGTGTAGTAGAAGTATGACCTGCGGGGAAAAACACTTTTCAAACCTTATTTTGGGGCAAAGTCATGAAACTGTCTGCCTGTTCATTTAAAGAGAGACCTGATCCTGTTAGTCTGAGGCCTTACCAAGATGGCTGCAGAGAGGCGAGACTCACCTCTAAGGACTTTGGTTAAACTGTGGATCTTCTGTTGGGATTATGATGTTAAGTGGCAGCTCAGCTGCAGCTGAAATATCTGAGTAAGAGACGAGGTAATTTAATAATTATAATATGACCCCGTGTTGAACCTAACTATAGCTTTGTGTTGTTGACCAGATAAACTCACAGAGAAAAGAAAAAAGGACAAGAGATAGTTTTTCAGTTACTCTGGAACATCACGTCTCCATGCTGCATTAATAACAGTAAGGTCCCCCCAGCTGTTAGATGAATGTGCGCCCCTGGTCCTGGGTGGATGTAATAACCAGCTGCAGGAGTCCTTCTCTGACATTAACGTCAGTCAGCTGACCTGTGGCTCCGCCCCCTCACTCTGCCGTGATGAAGGTGTGATTTCTGAACAACAACTCACCGCAGGACTTCTTTCCTGGTGAAGAAGGTGCAGTCCTGTGGACAGACAGAGAGACAGTGAGAGGACGCAGAGAGGCTGGAGCTCAGCCAATCAGCAGCAGGAGAGACGCCCTGCACGCTCTGCTGTCCTGTCGACCCCCGTACACAAAACAGACACACCTTATAAAGCAGGACCCGGTCCCCGTTATTATATGAACCGTGCAGAGTCACCTGATAGGCCTCCAGCTGCTCGTCGGTGAACGTGGTCTGCTTGTTGCCCATCCTGCTCGGCGGACATCACACAGCTGCATCACACTGGAGGCTGCAGCTGCTCTGAGGTCCGTTTACATCCATCCAGGTCCACAGGTTCCGGTCCAGCTGCTGGTCTGACGTCCACACTCCTGGTCCGGGTTTAGCTCCTCTCCGCTGAGGAAAAGGGGATTTTTCACTCCTCAGCGGTGCGGGAGGAGGCGGTGCGGGAGGAGGCGGTGCGGGTACCAGCGCGCTGCTTTCAGGTGCGGCTCGTACAACCCGGCTTTCATGGGGGAAGTGGCAGGCACGTGTCTCTGTTATTTCAAAGTTACTCTGTTATTTTATTGTGACATTTTCCGACTGAGACTTTTATTTTGTAATCTCACTTTTCAGGAAGTCAATGTCACAAAGTCCCGCCCTTCGTATTTTAGCCAATAAATTCTGACTGTTCCTGAAGGCAGCACACACACACACACACACACACACACACACACACACACACACAGATTTAATCAGGGCTCTGTGAACTCGTTTGGCTTCAGAATCAGAATCAGAAATACTTTATTGATTGATGAAGTATAAATATACAATATAAAGAAACAATATAAAGGAGTGTGGATCTGTACAATATTAAATTATTAACAGAATTGTAATGAAGAACGGTAGTAGTGAATAAATAGTAGTAATAATGAGTACTGGTAGAGCTCATGTGGGATGGATTACAAATCCTTAAAAATCCTTAAACAGGGCAGTATAAAGGTTAAAAACTGCAGTATTGGGATCAGAAGAAGAGTTGAGAAAGAAGCTGTGACTCCTCTTCCTCACAGATCAGAGTGACTCCTCTTCCTCACAGAGGATCTTTGTGACTCCTCTTCCTCACAGATCAGAGTGACTCCTCTTCCTCACAGAGGATCTTTGTGACTCCTCTTCCTCACAGATCAGAGTGACTCCTCTTCCTCACAGACGATCTTTGTGACTACTCCTGCTCTCAGATCAGAGTGACTCCTCTTCCTCTTAGAGGATCTTTGTGCCTCCTCTTCCTCACAGATCTTTGTGACTCCTCTTCCTCTCAGAGGATCTTTGTGACTCCTCTTCCTCACAGATCAGAGTGACTCCTCTTCCTCTTAGAGGATCTTTGTGCCTCCTCTTCCTCACAGATCTTTGTGACTCCTCTTCCTCTCAGAGGATCTTTGTAACTCCTCTTCCTCACAGATCAGAGTGCCTCCTCTTCCTCACAGAGGATCTTTGTGACTACTCCTGCTCTCAGATCAGAGTGACTCCTCTTCCTCACAGAGGATCTTTGTGACTCCTCTTCATCTTAGATCAGAGTGACTCCTCTTCCTCACAGAGGATCTTTGTGACTCCTCTTCCTCTCAGAGGATCTTTGTGCCTCCTCTTCATCTTAGATCAGAGTGACTCCTCTTCCTCTTAGAGGATCTTTGTGCCTCCTCTTCCTCACAGATCAGAGTGACTCCTCTTCCTCACAGATCAGAGTGACTCCTCTTCCTCACAGAGGATCTTTGTGACTCCTCTTCATCTTAGATCAGAGTGACTCCTCTTCCTCTTAGAGGATCTTTGTGCCTCCTCTTCCTCACAGATCAGAGTGACTCCTCTTCCTCACAGAGGATCTTTGTGACTCCTCTTCCTCTCAGATCAGAGTAACTCCACTTCCTCTTAGAGGATCTTTGTGCCTCCTCTTCCTCACAGATCAGAGTGACTCCTCTTCCTCTTAGAGGATCTTTGTGCCTCCTCTTCCTCACAGATCAGAGTGACTCCTCTTCCTTACAGAGGATCTTTGTGACTCCTCTTCATCTTAGATCAGAGTGACTCCTCTTCCTCACAGAGGATCTTTGTGACTCCTCTTCCTCACAGATCAGAGTGACTCCTCTTCATCTTAGATCAGAGTGACTCCTCTTTCTCACAGAGGATCTTTGTGACTCCTCTTCATCTTAGATCAGAGTGACTCCTCTTCCTCTTAGAGGATCTTTGTGACTCCTCTTCCTCTCAGATCAGAGTGACTCCTCTTCCTCACAGAGGATCTTTGTGACTCCTCTTCATCTTAGATCAGAGTGACTCCTCTTCCTCTTAGAGGATCTTTGTGACTCCTCTTCCTCACAGATCAGAGTGACTCCTCTTCCTCACAGAGGATCTTTGTGCCTCCTCTTCCTCACAGATCAGAGTGACTCCTCTTCCTCACAGACGATCTTTGTGCCTCCTCTTCCTCACAGATCAGAGTGACTCCTCTTCCTTACAGAGGATCTTTGTGACTCCTCTTCATCTTAGATCAGAGTGACTCCTCTTCCTCACAGAGGATCTTTGTGACTCCTCTTCCTCTCAGATCAGAGTGACTCCTCTTCCTCACAGAGGATCTTTGTGACTCCTCTTCCTCACAGATCAGAGTGACTCCTCTTCCTTACAGAGGATCTTTGTGACTCCTCTTCATCTTAGATCAGAGTGACTCCTCTTCCTCTTAGAGGATCTTTGTGACTCCTCTTCCTCTCAGATCAGAGTGACTCCTCTTCCTCACAGAGGATCTTTGTGACTCCTCTTCCTCACAGATCAGAGTGACTCCTCTTCCTTACAGAGGATCTTTGTGACTCCTCTTCATCTTAGATCAGAGTGACTCCTCTTCCTTACAGAGGATCTTTGTGACTCCTCTTCATCTTAGATCAGAGTGACTCCTCTTCCTCTTAGAGGATCTTTGTGACTCCTCTTCCTCTCAGATCAGAGTGACTCCTCTTCCTCACAGAGGATCTTTGTGACTCCTCTTCCTCACAGATCAGAGTGACTCCTCTTCCTCACAGAGGATCTTTGTGACTCCTCTTCCTCACAGATCAGAGTGACTCCTCTTCCTCACAGATCAGAGTGACTCCTCTTCCTCACAGACGATCTTTGTGACTCCTCTTCATCTTAGATCAGAGTGACTCCTCTTCCTCTTAGAGGATCTTTGTGCCTCCTCTTCCTCACAGATCAGAGTGACTCCTCTTCCTCACAGAGGATCTTTGTGCCTCCTCTTCCTCACAGATCAGAGTGACTCCTCTTCCTTACAGAGGATCTTTGTGACTCCTCTTCCTCACAGATCAGAGTGACTCCTCTTCCTCACAGAGGATCTTTGTGACTCCTCTTCCTCACAGATCAGAGTGACTCCTCTTCATCTTAGATCAGAGTGACTCCTCTTCCTCACAGAGGATCTTTGTGACTCCTCTTCATCTTAGATCAGAGTGACTCCTCTTCCTCACAGAGGATCTTTGTGACTCCTCTTCCTCTCAGATCAGAGTGACTCCTCTTCCTCACAGAGGATCTTTGTGACTCCTCTTCCTCACAGATCAGAGTGACTCCTCTTCATCTTAGATCAGAGTGACTCCTCTTCCTCACAGAGGATCTTTGTGACTCCTCTTCATCTTAGATCAGAGTGACTCCTCTTCCTCACAGAGGATCTTTGTGACTACTCCTGCTCTCAGATCAGAGTGACTCCTCTTCCTCACAGAGGATCTTTGTGACTACTCCTGCTCTCAGATCAGAGTGACTCCTCTTCCTCACAGAGGATCTTTGTGACTACTCCTGCTCTCAGATCAGAGTGACTCCTCTTCCTCACAGAGGATCTTTGTGACTCCTCTTCATCTTAGATCAGAGTGACTCCTCTTCCTCACAGAGGATCTTTGTGACTCCTCTTCCTCTCAGATCAGAGTGACTCCTCTTCCTCACAGAGGATCTTTGTGACTCCTCTTCCTCACAGATCAGAGTGACTCCTCTTCATCTTAGATCAGAGTGACTCCTCTTCCTTACAGAGGATCTTTGTGACTCCTCTTCATCTTAGATCAGAGTGACTCCTCTTCCTCTTAGAGGATCTTTGTGACTCCTCTTCCTCTCAGATCAGAGTGACTCCTCTTCCTCACAGAGGATCTTTGTGACTCCTCTTCCTCACAGATCAGAGTGACTCCTCTTCCTCACAGAGGATCTTTGTGACTCCTCTTCCTCACAGATCAGAGTGACTCCTCTTCCTCACAGATCAGAGTGACTCCTCTTCCTCACAGACGATCTTTGTGACTCCTCTTCATCTTAGATCAGAGTGACTCCTCTTCCTCACAGAGGATCTTTGTGCCTCCTCTTCCTCACAGATCAGAGTGACTCCTCTTCCTCTTAGAGGATCTTTGTGCCTCCTCTTCCTCACAGATCAGAGTGACTCCTCTTCATCTTAGATCAGAGTGACTCCTCTTCCTCACAGAGGATCTTTGTGACTCCTCTTCATCTTAGATCAGAGTGACTCCTCTTCCTCACAGAGGATCTTTGTGACTCCTCTTCCTCACAGATCAGAGTGACTCCTCTTCCTCACAGACGATCTTTGTGACTCCTCTTCCTCACAGATCAGAGTGACTCCTCTTCCTCACAGACGATCTTTGTGACTCCTCTTCATCTTAGATCAGAGTGACTCCTCTTCCTCACAGAGGATCTTTGTGCCTCCTCTTCCTCACAGATCAGAGTGACTCCTCTTCCTCACAGAGGATCTTTGTGACTCCTCTTCCTCACAGATCAGAGTGACTCCTCTTCCTCACAGAGGATCTTTGTGACTCCTCTTCCTCACAGATCAGAGTGACTCCTCTTCCTCACAGAGGATCTTTGTGACTCCTCTTCATCTTAGATCAGAGTGACTCCTCTTCCTCACAGAGGATCTTTGTGACTCCTCTTCCTCACAGATCAGAGTGACTCCTCTTCCTCACAGACGATCTTTGTGACTCCTCTTCCTCACAGATCAGAGTGACTCCTCTTCCTCACAGACGATCTTTGTGACTCCTCTTCATCTTAGATCAGAGTGACTCCTCTTCCTCACAGAGGATCTTTGTGCCTCCTCTTCCTCACAGATCAGAGTGACTCCTCTTCCTCACAGAGGATCTTTGTGCCTCCTCTTCCTCACAGATCAGAGTGACTCCTCTTCCTCACAGAGGATCTTTGTGACTCCTCTTCCTCACAGATCAGAGTGACTCCTCTTCCTCACAGAGGATCTTTGTGACTCCTCTTCCTCACAGATCAGAGTGACTCCTCTTCATCTTAGATCAGAGTGACTCCTCTTCCTCACAGAGGATCTTTGTGACTCCTCTTCATCTTAGATCAGAGTGACTCCTCTTCCTCACAGAGGATCTTTGTGACTCCTCTTCCTCACAGATCAGAGTGACTCCTCTTCATCTTAGATCAGAGTGACTCCTCTTCCTCACAGAGGATCT